ATAATTTTAAATGTCAATGCAGATAACTATAAAGAAAAAAATTGTTATAATTACAATAAAAATACATTAAAGTAGTAACCTCTACAAGGATTTTCTTTTAAACTAGGAAGAAAAACGTGTGGACTACAGATTGTCTGATAATTTTCAGAGGTTTCTCCTTACCCTATAAAAACATAAAGTTCAATTTATAGCTCATACTTCATTAGAAATTCTGGAAGATCCTAGTAAGGCCACTAATGAAATGTTTTCTGGTGTGCATATCTGTTCAGTCTGCACTTGAATTTTTCAAATAATTTACACATACTTATCAATGTATCCTATTGTTTTCAAAAACATTTTTATATCTAAAAGCAGTCCTATAATCTGCTATCGGCTGAGAACACTCAGCAAGATTAAGGCCATCAAAGCAGGACGTAGTAATGTTCAAAGAAGTCTTCCAACTCCCACTAGCAGAAATAAAGGATGTACAGCTCAGTCCTCAAAAAGCCCTTAATGTGTTGGAGGTAGGAGTAGGAGAGGTGAAGCACAGAGGATCTTAGGGCAGTGAAACAACTCTGTGATATTATAATAGTAGATACAAACCATTATAGAAAATGTTTGTCAAATGTACAAGATGAGCCCTAATGTAAACTCTGGGCTCTAGGAGACTACAATGTGACGATGTAAGTTCCTGTACCAATCAGTTGAAGATGCTGATAATGAGAGAGGTTATACATGTGTGAGACCATGAGGCATTTGGAAAATCCTTGTGTATTCTCCTCAATAGAAATATCAACCAAAAATTGTTCTTTGAAAAAGTCTATTAAAATAAGCTTTTAACTTTCCCAATGGAAACTTGATAACTACCTAGATAAAAAAGGATTTAGCAAAAGGCAGAATCAAATAGAATTTCACACTGAAAAGCAAGCAGCTATTACTTCAAAAATTTAAATTTTAAACTCCTCCAAGCTTATAAGATTATAAAGAAAATGTGTGAAGTTGGAAGAACTCAACTTAGGAATGTACATTAGAATCTGCTATCTGAACTTAATAAGTGAAAGAAGAATCAGTCTATTCTCCTACTAGGGCCTCACCTAACATGACAGATTAATAAAGAAGGGAGATAAAACTCATTTTATCTCCTAAGTAAATGCCTTCTAGAATTGGGAAGTGGCTGAAAACATGTAGGCCATCACCAATAAACTTATTCCAGGAACAAATTGAAAGTTCATTTGTAAATGCATGCATTGTAAATGCAGGCTAGGTTTTTATTTTAATAACATATATTTGTCCATGTAGGCACATCCATATAGACATTCCACTATCATAGTCATACTTCTAAATAAGAAAATAAGGTCATATCGCATTCATTATATGTTTCTTGACCTACTTTAAGTGTACAACTTCACGTTTAATAATATCAGTAAATTATAACCCAAATGGAATTTTATTCTTAGTAGTAACTAAAGTGAAAGATGGTCTAATCCTTTAAAATCCTTACATAAACATTTAGGTATTGGTCTATAAATATTCATTAATAGAAGTGTGGTCCAGGGTTGTTCTTATTAATTAGTTAATTCCCTATCATTAGACAATAAGCACTAAAAGCTTTATCTTAGCAAAGCTTGAATTGTCACAGAAGAGCTCGGTGAGGGTCTGAATTCTTCTCAAAGCCAGCAGGCTCACTTGATATGAGAAGGCATTTTTTTTTCTTCAGTGTTTTGGGTGCACTGACAACAAATGGAGATACCCGCCCTTCTTCCTAATAAATTCTGATTGGCAGCTCTCTTGTGCTGAGTGTGATCATATAGTGCCTAGTTCTGGCTGGCTCTGTCTGAAATAATGGACCATGCAGATCCAAAGGCTGCCTTGCCTTAAATGTTCTGCCATTTTATTATTGGCAAGAGAGAGAATTTAAATGGAATGTCAGTCAGATTTTATGTTTTTCTCTGCATCTGTGAGCTTCAGCTAAATAATCTCTATCACCCAGATTTTTATGAATCCCATAATCCAAATTTAAATATTTCAATTTTCTCTCATATGAGTTTAGGGCCCCTTCTGTACAAAAAGCTGTGGTGGCAAGCACCACTTCTAACTCGTACGAGTGAACTGAATGCTTTTTTGGATGTTGTTCTCTTTTTAATTTTTATAAAATAGTCTCTAACTCATAAGAAAATGCTGTTTGTTAAAAAGACATGTATTTTCATTTAATTCTTATATTTTTATATTGGTTCTAATATCTCAGCTTCTTTAGAATAATAATAGAGACCAATTTAGCATAGGAAAATGGATAAAATAAACTCAAAGTTGCTCTCCACATTTAGCATACAATAGGGACATTTGTTTAATAGATTTGTGTATTTCTCATATTGTAATTTAAACATTTAGAATATATTTTTGTATGCATTTATCTGAAATAAGTTTGTTAAAATCCTTGATGTGAATTTTGACAATCTCTTTTTCATTGACTTTTTCCATCAGGTGCAAGGAACTATCTTCCCAGCTCCCAATTTCAACCCTGTAATGGATGCCCAAATGCTAGCAGGGGCACTCCAAGGATTTGGTAAGGCTGGGAATTTCTATCTTTTGTTGTCGTATTGCTTTTTTTTTTCCTAGGTGATTGTAAAATATCTGATATCTTACAAAAGGCAGATACAAGTTAAACAACAACAAAAAAAAACTGGGCAAAGAAATAGAGTAGGAATTTAAAAATAGAAAAAGTAATGGTGATCAGATTTGCCTTGTGAAATTGCAAATCTGATCTTGACATTTTTGCCTTAAAGTTTTAAAGGTCTCATGACTTAGTAAATGAAATCTGAAACAAAAAGCAACTTACTGTACTTACTCTAGGATGAATCATCCTTGCTGACCATTGTGTTTATCTGTTTTCCATTTTGTTTCTGTGGCTGTGTCCACTTCCAGCAAAATCAGACTTATGATTCTTCCAAGTGGCTCTGCTATTTTACATCTCTGTAAATTGGCCTAATAACCTTCCTGCTTAGAATGCTCCTTTCTTCCTTTGCCTACTTGTAACCCAAATCTCTCCAAGAGCCTGTTGAAATGAGGCTTCCTCTTCAAATCCTTCTCTGAGCACTCCAAGCAGCACTAGCTATTCATACCCTGGTCCAGCTTCCAGCCTCCTGTACTTCTCATCCCAGCTGCTGTGCCTGTATCTGTCTAACCTGCTGCCTGGACTGAGAGCCCTTGGAGCTTGGAGTTTGGCAGATAGGTGCTTAACAAATGCATGCTTATTAAATGAGATTAGAGTTTAGAAAAGGGATATCGAAAGAAGACAGGAGGAAAATTATTAGGTTTTTTTAAAAAGATTAATCTTTAAGATGTGATTTGGAACCCTTAAATATCCACCTATTTTCCTTAGGTGCCAACCATTTTAAGGAGACTTCTAGTGAGCATGAAGATAAACACAGAAAACATAAAAGAGATGCTCTTAAAACATGCAAAGCCTTTCATAAGAAAGCAAGCTCTTGACTTTAAAGACAAGGACGCCTTTAAGGAAACTGTACGTGTGGGTGTATATACACATCTGCATGAATGTCTGTATTTTATTCACTGGCAGTGTCCCTTAGGAAAACAATAAAGAACTTTAAACCTGCTCTCTGAAGTTGACATGAAGAGTTTGCAGTGCTTTCGTGGCTTTTAAAATATCAGTCATCACAATAAAAATATAGAGGCAAGATATCAAAAAGTTGTGGATTAACTTTTTCTTCAGGAGTGTAATTTCTGCTTTAAAACTATCAGTCAGAGCAATCTGTTCACTATTTTTGGTCTTTTCTCCTATTTCAATTTTCCTGTCATTGCAGTTTTAGGGTCAAAATATGGACTCATTTTGACCATTGTAATTTCTTGCTTGTCAGTGTTCTAGGCTGAAGGACTTCAGAAGGTTTTGATGGCAGAGTGTCCACTGTAGCATGTCCAAGCAAGAACAGGTTTGGTGTCCTTTAATACTCTATCCATCTTGATAACTTCAGCAAAGTGCAACTGAGAAAGACAATTACTGATGTTTTCCTTAGCTCTTGTATTGATTTGGAAAAATCTGAGAGCAAAAAAAAAAAAAAAAAAAACTAACACAAATAAAAATGAGCAGTTTAAATGAACATAGTCTTAAACTATATGAAAATTTATGGTACCAATATCAATCTAAAAGAGAACAGTTCTCAGGTAACATTCCTTAACAGTGCTGCCACTTCTCAATTCCCTGCCACTAGATGCTACTTGTGCATTCTTAGAACAACTATTCAGTACTTATTTTGTATCTACCAGTACATACAATTGCCAGGTAATCTCTGTGAGATCTGTGACAACTGGAATCATTGTTAACCTCCGTTTATAATATTTATGAAAAGATTGCACAGGTACAAATTAAGCTTTTCTTAAATGGTGCTGTGTACAGTGAATATCCATACCTTATTCTGCACCTTTCTCACTATTAAGTAAAATTCTACCTGTAGGATTTTGGAGATGCCCTGTATCAACTTGAGGAAATTCCCTTCTATTCCTAGTTTGCTGAGAAATCTTAATGGATATGGTAGTTTATCAAATGCTTCTTCTGTATCTGGACACACTCCTATAGTTTTGCTTCTTTTGACTATGAATGTGATAGACTACATTAATTGATTTAGAATGTTGGACCAGACTTGAGTACCTCTGTATTTCTTATGTACATTGTTATATTCATTTCCTAATTATTTGAAAATTTTTATGTATTTATTTATCAGAGATGTAGGTCAGTGGTTTTTGTTTGTTTTGTTTGGCTTTTTGTAATTTCTGTCTCTGCTTTTGGTATTAGGGTAGTACTGGTCTTATAGAATGAGAGACTTCTCATTCATTGCTTCTCATAGAAGCAGACTTCCTCTGCTTCTGTTTTCTGGAAGAGGTGATAGAACATTAGCATTTCTTCTTTAAAAGTTTGTTATAATTCACTAGTGAATAATTTATTTGTTCTTAGTGTTTTGATGGGCTATTAATTATTGTTTCAATTTCTCTATAGATATAGGATTGTTCAGATTGTCTACTTTTTCTTGAGTTTGAATACTTTGTATGCTTGAAGGAATTGATCCATTTCATCCAGCCTATAAAATTTGTGAGCATAGAATTGTCCATCTTTTTTTATTATGCTATTAGTATCCATAAGATCAATAGTGATGAGATAAATAGTGATCAGTGGTACCCACAAGATCAATAGTGATAGACTGGTTTTCATCTCTACTATTGATGTTTTGTATCTCTCTTTTCCTTAGCCTGGCTAAAGGACTGTAGAATTTACTGAGTTTTTGAAAGATCCAATTTTGGTGTCATTGATCTTTTCTATTGATTTTCTATTTTCAATAGAAAATATTTTTCTATTTTATACTCTAATTTTTATTGCTTTTCTTTTACTTTTTTTTTTTTTTTTTTTTTTTGGTACCGGGGATTGAACTTAGGACCCTGTGCTTTCAAGACAGACGGTGGATCTTTTACTAATTTTTAGTACCATTTGTACATCTTTTCAATTTCCTAGACCTCATATCTTTCTTCTCTCATTTATGCATTCAGTATCATAAATTTACCTATAAATATGTTTGCTGCATCACACAAATTTCAATAAGTTGTATTTTCATTTGGTTTGATTTTTTAAAATTTGATATGAGTTATTCAAAAGCATGTTAGTTAACTTACATGTATTTTAGGGTTTCTAGTTAACTTACTGATTCTTAGTTGCTCATTTCTAGATTATTTCTTGTCTGGCTTGAAAGCATATTTTATATGGTTTGTTTATATTCTTTGAGTTTCTTACCATAGGTTTTATGGCCTAGAATCTGATCTATCTTAGTGAATGTTTTATGTGAACTTAAAAAGAATATATTTTGCTGTTGCTGCATTAGGTATTGTATTAATATAGGGGTCAACTCAATCCAGTTTATTTTTCTGGACACAAAGTAAACACAAAATGTAATATTTCTTCAGTTAGCCATTGTCAACAAATAAAAATTATATAACTTGAAATATTGATAGAAATGTAATTATGAATATGTTTAGAAAATAGAGTTTCTTTTCATATTAAAAAACTATGTTTTTGCTAAGGACTCTAGAAAAGAAAAACTCTCAAGTAAATCGGCAGATATAGCATGTTAGTGACAGAAAGATCACATTTTCAAAATTTATTCTTAACTTTATAGTCATATTAAAACATGATAAAATGTTTAGGAACCATAGAAAATCATTCTAAAATACCTCTGGAAAGATAAATAGACAAGAGCTGCAAAGAAAATAAAAAAATTAAGAGTAGTTGAGAAGAGTAGGTTGTGGATAATATGAACAGAATAAAAGCAAAAATATCCCAAAGATTATAATAATTTAATAAATATGATAACTATAATAAAAACACTGGAAGTAATTAAAAGATTTAATTTTTAATATATTCATTTTGGAATGTAGTTAACAGACTTCTCTACAATGGCTCAATCTTTTTCTTTTTTTTTTTTGGTAAGGCTCAATTTCTTTTGAGTCTGCAACTAGGCTAGCCCAACATGCCACATCCTTCCATTCCTTTTCAGAACCAGCTACTTTTCTCTCAGAAGCCAGTAATTCCAGTCTTTGGAGCTGATTCTATGCCTTCGTTCCTCCCTATACAGCTTTCAGACCATTTCTCTTGCTTCAGTAATACACTTTGAACTTCTCAAAGACATAGCCACCCAAGTAAGTCCCAGTTACCTGCCCTTTTCACTCATATTTCAGGACCATATTCATAGCTTCCCTGTGATCCTAAGACCACCCAGGACAGATTTAATTTCCAAAATGATGATTTGCTTAGCATTCTAAATTTCCAGTTTATTTTTCTGTCTGCCTTAAACATCTCGTCTTGTCAAAGGAAAATGACCAGATGAGATTAGACTTTATTCAAACTATCGCAAAAGGGATCAAGAGAGGAGAGAGACTGAACTCAACTCCTCTGGAGCAGAATGTGGAGAAGTTATTAAACACAAGCTATTAAGCTGGTGGAAGAGCAGTAGAGGATGTCAGGATGGTAGTGGATCTTGGTGAAGGTGATTAGACAACCTGTAGTTGCTCATCAGTACTTAACAAAGCTTGGCTCCTTCTCTCACTCAGTCCCTAGAAGACAGAGACTCTAGCTTTCTTGATGATAACATTTCAAAGGAATGGCCTCCAGATCTTTGAGAAACATTTCTGGTTTGTAAATCTGGCACAAGGGTGAGAGAAATTGTGCATGTCTAAGATGTAAAGAATGTACAAAAGCAAGTTTTGAAAAAATTATTGCCTTTAGAAAGAACAAGTCAGAGGATGTAATTAGGCAAAAAACCTGTCTGTATTTTAGTCAAGCTGAGTGAAAAGTTAAGGTCTTTTTAGTCACTCTACTGTGACCATAATTACAGTGAAATGCATCTAAACTTGCTGTGCATTAAGATACCCGGTTAGATCAGTGTGATGATATGATACGAGATACGACAATGACATGACATGATGAAGTGGAGGATGGACAACCAAAAAGCAGAACTTATATGATAGGTGAAAGAAACTATACTCCATACAAAGCATGATAGGTTCACACCAGCCCTTGAAAGTTTGCAGATACCTTGCACTTTCATGATCTCTTTCTCTATTATGCCTCCTTTCTCTGGAAATTCTAACAACAGCCTTGCTTTCAAATTACATATTCATTTAAGCCACAGCTCTGTAACTGTGCAGCATGAAAGACATGGTGTCCATTTATCATTCATCAACTTGAAAATCAGAGAAGCCTTTTTTGGTATAGTATGATAAGTAGCTGAATAAAGGATCTAATTCCTTACTTCTAATTCCCTAATTCCAGGGAAGTAAGGAATTAGAATTATTACTAAAGATTTATTATTAAATCTTTAGGAATGTCACCAGTTAGTATGGGTTCTTGCTTAAGTGATAATAGAAGTTAAAACCAAGACAGCACTGTTCATTTATAGGAAAAGGGTTTAACTGGAGAGTATGAGAAAATGGAGAGGTGACTTTAACTTGAGAAAAAAACTCAATGGGACACAACTTTAACACAGAAGATCAGGCCAGGTGTCCTAACAACAAAAGACAGAGGTCAGCTTATGTGGGATTGCTTACGTTGGCTAGGATCTGGTTGATTATCTCCTCAGTTCTGTTTTTGCAGCTCTGGAGAAGTCCTTATGGCTTGAGGAGTCAATGCAGTCTTTATGAGATGATCGTTTATGTTTGAGGGACAGTTTTGGTTTGGCAGAGGCTCTGCTGACACCCAAAGTGATTGCAGATTCAGTGAAATGACGGGAAACTTTTAGGTGCCCATTGCAAGGAATGAAAGTTGGAGATGAATGTCCCTGAAAATCTTTTATCTTGATGTCCTCAGTCTCAATGGGGCATGAAATGGGTTATATACATTTAGGTCAAGTAAAACTTGTAGTATCGGTTTTTAGACAGATATTCCTTAAATGTCAAATATCCCTATATGGAGAGCTAAGTAGGCATCTGACTCAAAGGTTGAAAGTGACAATAGAGACAGACCCACAATGAAGGCAGATATCCCCAATGTATTCAGTCACCTTTCCTATTCTGGGACCAAATGCTCGACACTCACAACTTAAAGGAGGAAATGGTCATATGATTTCAGAGATTTCAGTTCATGACCAGCTGGCTTCAAGGCAGAAATATCATACAGAAATATGATATTTGGCAGAGCAAAGCTGCTCAGTACATGGTGGTCCAAAAGCAGAGCAGGGAAAGTGCCAGAGAGGAAGGGACCAGGAATAGTTTCTAAGGTCCAACTTCCACCATCCATTCAGACACACCCAAAGTGTGAACCAGCAATTCCCTAGATAGTTCCCAAGCCAATCAAGTTGACAATTAAGCTTAAACATCACAACAAGCTTTATCCTGTTTTAGTTAGCAACTGGGTATCTGAATGCTCAAATGAAGAGTTCCTGCTTTTTATTCCCTGTCTACTTTCCAAGAAAGCATAAATCATGATTTTAATGAGTAACGGGTTAAGAGCCCCTCAGTTAGTTTGCTCTTTCTGTGATGATCTCCAACAGTTTTATTTTCTCATCTAGTTTATTCTTGGACATGCTGTGGCAAAAGCTTCCTGGTTGTAATGATGGCCCTGGTTTGTGAGGTCATGAGCTTGTCCAGGTGAGGAGGTAGGGAAGAATGCATACTATACTTTTAATCAGCACCAGGTCCTGAGTTAAAGCCCAGGAATGTAGCTGCCCTTTGTCCTCATGGTCCTCTCTGACTGTCTCAGGAAGGGAGCCAATTTACAGTAATAGTACTGAAATGAGAGACAGGAAGAATCCAGGCTTCATCAAGCATTGCTATGTGATTTCCAATTTTAGTTAAAATTGCTCTCCGCTCCTATCAAGGATAGTGCTTGCACATTGGTTTTGATCCTTAAATAACAGATTCTCCCTAACTCTGAGTAGTAACTTTACTGATCTTCCAACATTATTCTTTCCAGACTGTGACAAAGACATGCTGATTGACATTCTAACACAGCGCAGCAATGCACAGAGAATGATGATTGCAGAGGCCTACCAGAGCATGTATGGCCGGGTAAGGACTATGTATCTTGTCCTCTTTCAAGGACAAGCTCCTGAGCACTAACAATACTCTCAGGGAACTGGAACCATTATATTTGTCAATCTTTCAGATCGCAAAGATTTCAGGACTCATATACTAGAAATAGTCCATAGCTTCTTACATATTTTAAGCAATATAAATATATCATAAATGTGTGTGTGCGTGTGTGTGTGCGTGTGTGTGTGTGTGTTAAGGTACCTTCATAATTACAGTGACCATCAGTCCTTCCCAAAATCATACAGCATCTCAAAAAGAAAATATTTGATAACCAAACACTGCTAGTTGGTCCAATTAGGCTAAAAGTGAAATGTTATGCTCGAAACACCTGTGTGCCAAACTTTAGGGAAGGCATAGAAGGGACTAATGATCACCAGGTCAAAAAATAACATTTTTTCCTGGAATTCTCTGCAGGTCCTCATCTAACTCTCCACCAAAGTGAATTCTCCACTAGCTTTTCTTCTCAACAGCAGGCAGGTAAAGAGACCATTAAAAAAGAATGACAGTTTAAAAATAGCTTAAGGCAATAAAACTATCCATAGTGTTTTAAAGTAATCACATTCTAATTCCAAAGCAAGTACCATTAAATATTCCTTGCTTTTGTTATGCATTTAAACCACAAATTCAGAACAAAAACTCTTCAGGCCAAAAGGACCAGAAATAGCAATTATTTTGTCAAATGAGCATTATCAATGAAACACTATCATAAAACTTTCTTTATAGAGTTTGTCCATATAAATTTACTCCATCTCAAAGCCTGTCTTTGAACTATAACATATGAAATAAGATAGTCTTCTGTATTAGAATGAATTTATAATACAGAAAGCCACTACTAATGGTGACTTTAATTGAATTATGCTCAAAAAGGAGACCAGTTAAACCATTTTTTCCACATAAAACTGTTACCTTAGCTTATGTTCCTGTGACTTCAACATTAACTTCCTTTAAAAAAAGAATGAAAAGTTGTAGAAGATGTATCATTGGTACTCTCATATGCTTTTAATATCCACAGGATTAAAGGGGATTTTTTTCTGTAAAGTTGTTAACTCAAAGGTTTACATACATCTTTGCTATTATATAGCTCGTTAATTTAGGCTAAAGCATTACTTTATCAAGCTCTATAAAACTAGGCTAAAGCAGATTTAAAATAATTAAGAAATGAAGTGCTTGCACTCAAGGGATTTAAAATCCATTAAAGAACTTGTACTGGAATGAAGCACTTTTTACTCTACACATAAGGTCTCAGAGTTTGTTAAGCCCTCACTTTTACTGAATAATCCACATGTGTTGGAGAAATTTAGCTGATCAGTACATTGCACACACTGGAAGGCAGGAAGCCATGCTTTCCTCAGTCCTCTGAAATCTCTTGCTATTCAATCAATCATCAAATGTTAATAATTATTTCCTCTCACATTTCTCTCTTTTTCCTCACTTATCCAGGCTTGATTAGGATCTCCATCCTTTCATGCCCACACCAATGCTGCAATTCCTCACTGGCCCCTGCAACCCCTAGTCCCACCCACTCCAGTTCACCATCCAAACTGAAATCAGAACAAGCCAAATACAATTTGAACATGTTACTTTGCCACGTTAGTACCTGCAAGTTTACCCCATTCCTCTCTCATGGATATACATATGTCCATGGAACAAACCCAAACACCTTCCCAGGGCAGATAAGCCTTGCTGCCCTCATCCCTGCTCTGCATCTTTATCTGTGTCTTCCTTCCTACTCACCTTCAGTGTCACCTTCCTACTCACCCCCCAGTGGAAGTATTTGTAGTTCTCCAAAGTAACCTGCCCCCTTCTTTTGGTCATGGCATCCCATCCATGCTTAATGCTTGATTTGCCATTCCTCAGGCTGTACATCTTCCCAGACAATGGACACCACACCAGCTCCAATGTCCTCATCTCCAGTGGGCTGGATGTGTGCCCTCAACTCACACTTTCTGCAATTTCCTTAAAGTACCCAATGACACATCCTTGAGCTTGTTTGAATGTTTTTCCCATTACCAGATTCCCAAAATGAGAATGTTAGGCATGAGAGTCTTAAGGATTCTGCAGATCAAGCATTCAATTTCTACAAGATTTAAGAGCAAGCCAATAGCCATTTTTCAAAACTGATGTACTGGTAAGTTGTATCAGGAAAACAAGTTTTAATCACCAAGAGGCTCTTCCCCTTCCCAGAGTTTCCAATGAGCAAACTATCTGCCAGAGAGACTTGTGGTTAAAACTAATAACTAGGATTATGGGGCCCAGAGCAGGACCACTTCCTTACTTGTGTCTCTTTCCCAATGAAGACCATTCCTTCTAGTAGTTACAAGCACCTGTAGAAGCAACAAATAAACCCAAGTAAATTCAACTTTGAAAGTTACAATAATAGTATAGTATAATGAGTCCAAAGGCCTCCAAACACAAAATCAATCCTCTGACTTTGCTTCTCTACTTCAAATCTTGCTCAAATCCATCATGTGAACTTGGGTGTACTTCTACCAATCAGTCCAGTAGAACAGTGACATAGACATCTATATACAACAAATGCATAAAAACTTGAATCCATCTGTTCTCCTCGGTAACCCACCATAGTCAGACAAGTACACATGTCCTTTCGGGCACAATATGGAATAGGAATAGAAAGACCTTGGATCTTGACTGTGCATAGCTGTTGCTAGTTGCTATTTTCCTAAAAGCAGAATTTGGGATGAAAGGAAGGGAAAGATGGAGGCATGAGGGACAGAGCAGGTCTGCATCAGTACCAAGACATATTTATTTCCTGTGAAAGTTTGCATATCTTAATCCAATGAACTTCCATTATTTTTGGTCTATGCAAAGTTGTTTCTCAGGTGGCAAATTCATCATACTACACCAGATGTTTCAACTTTGTGGAATCTTGAATCTGCAATTTTAGCTGGTCACAGACAAGGGCGGTTTTTCCCTTTATCTGACTTGGCTTTGACTCATACACGGCAATTTTTTAAAGAGTTACAATTAGAATGGACTTTATGGTATTAATAGACTTGGAAGTCTGAATGAAAAGGCCAAAGTTTTGTCTCATGAGACTTAGAGCAGGAAAAAATGTAAACAATGGCAGAGAAACATGCAGTTCACAATACTCTGGGCATTTTTTGGTAATTTTTTTTTTGTAATAAATTCTTTTATTGGTACATTGTAGGTATACAACACAATTACATTTCTCATTGGGAATTGTACCTTTATATAATGTATCTTGGTTCTTATTTTT